TGACGTCACACAGACAGGCATCTGAGATCAGCTCGATTTGAGAAAGGGGAAAACATTTAACCAGATTTAAAAACAAAAACACTGGGTGGATCTTTATCATTATAGGGTGGTTGTGTAGGGTGGTACTCAGTGGTCAACACCTTCATGCATGTTTGTTCATTTATTATGCTACTGTATATTCTCCTAAACAGCTGCTGGCTGAAACTGGACAAAAGCTTCATCTGGAGTTTTCTTGGTCCTGTTTGCGTCATACTAGCAGTAAACACATTTCTAATTTTTCATGGCTTTGATTTGCATTAAAAGGAAAGCAGGGTGATAAATTATTGACGTCTTTCTACTTTGCAGTTAAACATGATTCTCTTCATCAAGATCGCCATCACTCTGAACTCAGCTCTAAAAAATCTCAACGCTGAAGTTTCACAGATGAAACAAACCAAGTAAGATTTAAAAATAGATTTAAACCAGTGCTTCTTAATCCCCCGCTCTGCACATTGTGTATGTCTCCCTTATCTGACACACTGTTGATCTGATGATCGGAATAGGAACCACTGATTAAAACGATTCATGCAAACTAACATAGAGTCAGTAAAGACACATTAATGGTTTCTCCGCAGGATCATGGTGTTTAAAACACTGGCTCAGTTTGTGGTTCTTGGTTGCTCCTGGATTCTGGGTTTCTTCACCAATGACAGTAAGGTGCTGGAGATCCTCTTCCTGATCTTCAACTCTCAGCAGGGAACCTTCATCTTCCTGATCTACGGTGTTCTCAATAATGAGGTCAAACATTACTTACAATCATCTTTACCTGTCTCACCTAATAAACTCCATCTGAGATTAACTATAATACCAGATTGATTTAAACTTGTGCCTCAGACACTTCCTTCCATCTGCCTCATGAATAACACGATCCTTTGTCCATTTTTCTTTGGGCTTTAACTCCAGGTCATGCAGCAGTTCAGGAAGTTCTTCAGATGTCTTTGCTGCATCAAACAGCACTGAAGCCTACAGAATCATGTTCAGGAAGTAAAAAGTGCTGCTGAAGTGCCATTATTATACAAGTGATGCCATGCTTACAGTAAAATACAGAATCAATGTTTTGGATGTTAACCGTAGTCTCTGCTCCTTTCTGTAAATGGTAAAAAAAATGTAACCAGTCTTTTGATATCACAACTTTAAATACTATGAATGTAGAACGTATCCATCTGATTTTCTTGGTGGTGGGTGAAAAACATGTTTGTACAGTCTTACAGACACAAAATGTTACGCTAAATGCTTGCAAATAATTTTTTTTTTAAAAAACTCCTGAATTTCATGTGTGCTTGGTGAAGTTTAATAAACTCTACACTTTACAGTTTAAGTAAAATTAAACAAAATATGAGACTTACACTTATTTTTTATTTTTGTTGAGCTCAGAAAGTTCCCAGAGAGGAAATGACTTTCTTCTGCAAGGACCCTTTTTATGTTACTTTTAATATTCAAAAGACAAAATATATTTTCAGGTCAGAGTGTCACAGGTTTTATAGGTGTGGTGGGTTTACCTTTAAAACTAAACTATTAAAATAACTAAATGAACAGCTGATGTCTCAAATTCAAAGTGAATCTGTACTGTCATATGATTTGTATTTATGCATTAAAACGTGAATGCTCAGGTTTTCATTGTTTTAATGCATTTTGTTTGTTAAAAGTTATGCCTTAATAAACAATGTGATACTGTGTGTTAGTGCATATGTGAATGTTTTTTCCACATTCCACAAAAGCTCCATATAATAATAGTCTGAGTGTAATTTGAGAAGAATATCCTAGTTTGAAAAATTAAATCCAGCCCTCTTCTGCAATGTCTCTGTATTTAAAATGTTACATGCAAAAGTCTTAACTGTATATTCTGCTTTGTTGTCCTGCAGACTTCAGGTCCAACCCTGCTCCAACACACCTGCCTGTAATTATCAAGAAACCCTGAACACCTCGATTAGATAGTTCGGGTGCGTTTTAGTGGGGTTGCAGCTCTCCAGGAGCACGGTTGGAGACCCCTGGGTTAGAGGGAGTAGCACGCGCTGGCCTGGAGGAGAGAGGACAGATATTGTCTAGACAAGACGTCAAAGTAGAGCATAATGCGTAAAGAGAGGAGACAGAACAGAGGAAAGATGGGAGGGTGAAAGGGAGCGCAGGTTTCACCTGAATGCAACTGGCAGAGGGGTTGCTGGCACACAAAACGTTGTAAATTAAGCATCAGTTTTGGGGATAATGCATTACAAGTAATGCGAGTTATGTAATCAGATTACGTTTTTCAAGTAACTAGTAAAGTCATGCATTACATTATAATTACGGGAAAACATCTTGAGTTTTTCTCACTCGCACAAAAACAGATTCAGTATTCCTCAAAATGAATAAAAACGGTGAAATGCAAACTCAATGTGACGCAAACCTGCAATATTTAAATGTGTTAAATAGCATTTATCTTTGCTGGTGACCTTTGATGATCCAGTTCCCCCATACTAATAAACAAAATTGACTTTAGATAAACATAGCATTTGTGTTTGTTTTTTTTATTGCTAAAGAGTGTTGAACTTTCTTCTCTTGCATCCTATTCTTCGTGCCATCCAGAATGGGTTTGTTTGAGCTGTGCCCTCTACTGTACAGATGTGAATGCACATTTCCTTCAGCCTGAAGCTTATTGATTTCACTTTTGGTTTGTAAAACATTGACCAAAATTTGAACTTTTTTATATTAAAATCAAAGAAGCAAGCCCAGCCCAGATTTGAAAAGTAACTCAAAAGTAGCTCGGCAGCTTAAGGCTCTAGATAAATGCTGAAGTCGCTAAAAACACAAGTGGGCTGTATGACTTTGGGTCATATTTCCTTATCAAAGTGATGGACTGATAACTTCTCTATAAACATCTGAAGACAACTTTTTTTTTTTTAGTTGAGCAGTCATTCGTGTCGGTGAGGATCACTGTATATCAGCTCACATCAGGTGAGATCTTTCTGCTCATGATGATTCTTGTCAGTCTCTGTAAATCAGACATGTGTGGTTTGTGTGTAGTTACAGCTTTGACCAGGTCAGGACTCTTTCTGTAATTCCTTAAACATTCCTTTTTAGCATATATAAATCCTCCAGATCACTTATAGATCTACACCATTTTTCAGATATCATGCTTTTGGAAAACAGTTTGTGATTCTAAGATGATTCTTATATGATAATTGGTGGGAAAACACTTCTTTAAGAGCATCATTTCATCCTTTATTGCATTATGCTTTGACAATAAGTGTTTAAAACGCTCCTCAATTTTGACTTGTAAAATGCTGATTTGTTTCATCTTTTGTCTTCTCCAGATGTTAACTGATGGACTAGAGTGCTGTGGATTACGTGTGGATTATTGTGATGTTTTTATCAGCTCTCATTCTGACGGCACCCATTCACTGCAGAGCATCCATTGCTGAGACACTGATGCAATGCTACATTTCTCCAAACCTGATGAAGAAACAAACTCATCCTAATCTTGGATGATCTAAAGGTGAGCACATTTACAGCAAATTTTCATTTTTGGGTCAACTATTCCTTTAAAGCTAAAGTTAAATTAAAACATTTAGCTTCTGACTTTTAATGCTTAAGAACCTTCTAAAGTCTGTGCGATGATGTAAAAATATCACAAATCCGGATAATTAAAAAAAAAAAAGTTTGAAAACCGTGTTATTATGGTATCAGTGAGATATTATAGTTTTAATAATATTTTAAATGTTTTTTTTTTAGATTTTCTGTTTTGATTTCAACTATAGTTAAAGTTTAAGTTTAGTTTAAAGCTTTTTTAAAAATTATGCCTGTTCTTTTTTTTCATGTTAATATCCGTTTTAGTCATTTTAGTACATTAAGTTAAAATAAATGAGAATGAGAAACTAGCTGTTTATACATATACAGTATATATATTTTTTTTGTTGTTGTTGTTTTTTTGTTTTTTTTTGCTAAAGTTTGTTTTATTTCAAGTTACATAAGTATTTTGTGGTTTTAGTTCATTATAATAACTATGTTTGGAATATGAAAAACTAATGCTGAGTCTAAAGGCTGATAATATTTGAATGTTCTCCTTTGTTATGCTTGCGTTTACACACTGAATCATGAAAATGAATCTGGCACACACACACACCCTCACACACACTCACACACACACACACACTCTCACACACACACACACACACTCACACACGCACGCATGCACACACACACACGTCTTTGCAGCATGTAAGAATATCTGCGTTTGTTTTGTTGTTTAGTTAATCCCTAAAATAGATTATTTTTGCCTCAGTATCAGGTCTCTCTCAAGCAGCGTTTGCTCTTTTTCCTGAAACATATTTTGAGTAACTGTAACCTTCGTTCTGTTCTGCTCCAGTACTTTACATTAATTAGTTCAGGATAAATATGTATTTGGACTGGGATCGTCACATGTATTTCTAATGAGGCTTTGGCTGCTTGGGTAAAACATGAGCTGGATAAACACAGATGGTTCATCACATGAGTGATTTCTATTGCATTACTGCAGTTAACAATGGAAAACCAATAGAATCACTCAGGAAAACACAACATTAATGATCATTACGGCACTTTAAGAGACTGTAGGTCATTCATTACCTAACTTTAATCATTCTGAAATTAAACTTGCATTATTTTGTTGCAGGTACACTTTTTGCAAATACAGTAAAGTTGAAAACACAGAACCTGTACGTTCTCAGAAATAAAGTTATAAAAGCTGTCACTGGGCCGGTACCTTTTCAAAAGTGTACCTTTTTCCACCCCTAAAGAGTGCATATTAGTACCTAAAATGTACCTGTTAGTACCTAAATATATTAGTAGGCTACCTTTTGAAAGGGTACCGTAGCATGTGTGTCTTTTTTTTTCTAAGAGAGGTTAGTGGAGTTTAAGTCAAGAATCACTATTACTATATTTCATATGCAGTGTTGGTGATTTGAACAAACCCCAAATGTAGTAAACTGAGATGTGTAACTTATCCAGCCAGTTACATGACATATAAACATGGAGTCAAGATCTGGAATAATTCAGATTTGTAATGTTTTTGAAAAAAGAATCTTCTGCTTATCAAGGCTGCATTTATTTGATCAAAAACACTGCAAAAATGTGAAATATTATTACTATTCAAAATAGCTGTTTTCTATGTGAATATCTGTTAAACTGTAATATATTTCTGTGATGCACAGCTGTATTTTCAGCATCATTACTCCAGTCTTCAGTGTCACATGATCTTCAGAAATCATTCTAATATGCTGATTTGCTGCTCGAGAAACATTTCTGATTATTATCAATGTTGAACACAGTTGTGCTGCACAATATTACACATTAGCTGTTTCAAAAAACTAAAATAAAAATTCATGAGAACTATATTATAGACATTTATAGACAACCTACATTACTAAAACTTTAATTAATTAAAACAAAATATAAAAATAAAAATGAATTCAAAATAATATTAACTAACAGTATATCAATTACTCTAAGATAGTTCATCTAGGCATACAAACTGTAATATTTTAGTTCATTGATTAAATTATTTTGCAAACATTTCCATCTAGTGGCTATGATTGGAATTGCATGTATGGTGAACTGATAATAATCAGAAATATTTCTCGAGCAGTAAATCAGCATATTAGAATGATTTCTGAAGATCATGTGACACTGAAGACTGGAGTAATGATGCTGAAAATACAGCTGCGCATCACAGAAATATATTACAGTTTAACAGATATTCACATAGAAAACAGCTGTTTTAACTTAACAAAATTCTAGATAAAATGTTTTTAATTAAATCATTGAATTACCATACATCATATGTGAATCTCTCTCTCTCTCTAGAATATCAAACCAAATTTTTAGCCCATATATTATATATAATATATTATGTATATACTATATTACGTATAATATAGTACATATTTAGTATTATTTATATACTATTAAAATATTTAATAATATTCTTAATTAGTTTGTATTTCTATATTTAAAGTTTTAATTAAAATTTTAGTAATTTTTTATGTGCTCGTGTCATTACTATTATTGTTTTGTAGTATTTATATTTAGGTTTAATTTATTTTTTATTTCAGATTTACCCATTTTAGTATTTTAAATTGTATTAGTTTATATAGTTATGTAGTATACAGTTTTATTAGTTTATGACAAGGCAACGTTTGGAGCTTTAAATTATTAATTTGGTGTAGGATTTACTTTGAAACAATTTTCACTCAGAAATTGCTAGAAAATTTCACAAATAATTACACAGA